ATCCTTGTGTTTTTAATATGATTACAATTTTTTATTTTATGAAATGTAAATATAAGACTTGAATTTTAGATATTATAAAGAGATGTACCACTAGATTAAAAGCTAATTAAGCTATGTATGATTATAACGTCATAATTTTCTATCTATTTTCTCCTTGAATTGAAATTGAAATGCATACATGAGCTTAACCAAATTTGCTAGAGTGAATGTGCTTCTCACTATGCATTTGAGTTCAAATCCTCCTCTCTTTAGTTTAGATTATATTACATTAGAATATCGCTAGTAGTTAAAAAAAAAAAATTGAAATTGAAATAGATATAGTTGATTGGTGAAAATTTCAGAACAAATTAAAACAATTTTGTTCAATGGATTGAATTTTGGTATGGATGGTTGATTTTGCTGATACTTTTGTTATTTAAAAAAAAAAAAATCTTTTTGTCAATGATTGTTTAAAATAAATGAGCCTTTATAGATCATGTGACTGCCAATTATAAAAAATATAAACTTAACCATTTTTTTATAACAATATAAATTATTCTTTTCGTTTAGCAAGTTATGGTTTGCACGGGCAGAAAGACTCTCTCTTTTTCGTATAGCCTTTCCAAGATCTCACAGAAAATTCGTGATCAAATCTTCATATCTGGCCATCACCTGGCGAGATTAGTAAAAGGAGAGAGATATAAGAAGAAGAAAAAAAACATAAATAAATGCGGATATAACTACACACAAAAATTATTTAAAAAAGGATATGGGACTCGTTGACTGTGTTGGAGTAAGCCGTAGATAGCGACACCCTCCTGCACATGATAAGACCCTCTGATGTCAATTCTAGAGCCAACCGGGTCGTAACACGTGGAGGGCCTGAACCTGGACGGCTGCAGAGCATAAAATCTTCACTCTCCTACCAGTCCCCAGTCTTTTATCTGTTTTCCGTGCGTTCTATAACTTTCTCCACGTCTCTCGCACGGTCGCACCACCCATTCAACCACCTCTCAAGCTCCAAACTTTTTCAACTGCCCAAACTACCTAACGACCAAACGACACCGTCTTTTCTAACACATAGTAATGCTTTATCCTTTTTTACGGTAATGCGTCAATGTCTCCTCGTACTCATCATCCCCCTCGTGTACATTTTGTTTCTCTGAAACTCTGAGTTTTTTTCTCTTTCAATCTCATCTCTGTCTGTGTCGAATAAATGGCGGCCAAAATTGGTTCCTTTAGGCACAGTTTTGCCGAGAGAAGCAAGGAGAGGCTGCTATCGAGAAAAGGGTACTCGGATTTTGGCCTCAACAGCTCTGAAACCGGCGATGATCATGTTAAATGTGGATGTTTTCGAGCAGTTTCTGATGGATTTAACAATTTCTGTAAGAGTTTTCAGGATACTTTTATCAAATTGTATCAAATGGGTCACTCGGATCCTCGAAAAGCTGTCTTTGCTGTCAAGATGGGGATGTCGCTGTCAATTGTATCGCTGCTCATATTTTTCAAGGAGCCCCTTAAAGATGTTAGCCAGTATTCCATCTGGGCAATTCTCACAGTTGTTGTCGTCTTTGAATTCAGCGTAGGTATTAGTTCTTCTCATCATGCTTATCAGCTTATGTTTGTCTAATTCAGTTTTCAAGTTACAGAAAAAAGCAATAGTATCAAACAAAGTTGATCCCTTTTTTGTTTGTTTGTGTGCTTAATGGAAAGTTTATTGTCATTTTGTTGTTAAAGGTGCAACCCTGAACAAAGGTTTTAATCGTGCTTTGGGGACGTTTTCGGCTGGAGGGCTTGCTTTGGGTATCGCAGAAGTATCTGTATGGGCAGGAGATCTCCAGGAGGTTGTTATTGTAATCAGTGTTTTCATAGCAGGTATTAAGTTAGTTGATATTGATCAATATCAGTAGAGAAATATTTTTTGGTTCTTTACTATTTGGCACCTTGCAGGTTTTCTTTGTTTATGATAAATCCTTTCTCTGAATTGACTGTTGGGTTTTGTGGTATTAGGTTTTTGTGCTAGTTATGCCAAGCTTTATCCGCCAATGAAGTCTTATGAATACGGATTTCGGGTATTCTTGTTGACTTATTGTATCGTCCTGGTGTCCGGGACTACATCTTTCGTCCAAACAGCAATTTATCGATTATTGTTTATTGGAGTCGGTGCTGGCATATGTTTGGGTGTAAATGTACTCATATACCCCATCTGGGCAGGGGAGGATCTCCATAAGCTGGTGGTGAAAAACTTCAGGGGTGTTGCTGTTTCTTTGGAAGGTCGGTTCATTTTTGTCTTTAATTTTGATTGTCTCCTGGAGATATCTGCCAAAAATATATCTTGATTTATACTCAATTGCAGTTACGAGATTGATCTTGAGGTGTCATGTTTTGTTCTGTTATAGGTTGTGTTAATGGATATCTGCAATGTGTTGAATATGAGAGAGTTCCTTCAAAGATTCTCACTTACCAAGCTTCTGATGACCCATTGTATAGTGGCTATAGATCGGCTGTACAATCTTCAAGCCAAGAGGAATCTCTGGTGTGCTGATATTACAATTCTGCTTCTATTCTTCAAAATTTGAACCGAATAAGGTCAGGAATTATTGATTGAACTTACTCAAATTTAACACTGTTTATGCAGTTGGACTTTGCAATATGGGAGCCACCGCATGGCCCTTATAAGTCATTCAATTATCCCTGGAGACACTATGTCAAAGTTGGTGGTTCACTTAGGCATTGTGCATTCATGGTCATGGCAATGCACGGATGCATACTCTCAGAAATACAGGTAAATATTTATCTTTCTTTTTTACTGTGGCTTTGCTGAATGTATATAGCAGAAGAAGAAAAATGTCGACATTAAATTCTGAATCTCCATATGAGTCCAGGAGATGGATCTTACGGTTCATACTATTCATTTGAAAATAAAATGAGCTTATGATTATTGTAACATTAAATCTTGAACTTGGTTTTACTTGATTTGTACTGTTCCCTCCAAATAATTTTGATTTGTCATGCCAATTACACTACTCAAGAAGAAGGGATTCTAAAAATTTTGTTTTGGCTTTGCATAGAATAGCCTTACATCCCATTTCTCTGTTTGCAAAGACAAGAAAAGATTCTGAACCATGCAACAACAGGTCCCTATAGTCGTTTAAAATTCTAAGAGCACAGATGTCTTCTTAATCCTGTGTTTCTTAGGTTACCAGTCCATAACTTATGATCCCCTTTTCCAGGCCTATCTGTTTTCATAATCAGGTTTCGTGCATGTGTTTCTGTAGGCACCACCAGAAAAGAGACAGGTTTTTGGCATGGAGCTTCAGAGAGTTGGTAACGAAGGTGCTAAAGTACTTCGTGAGCTAGGAAGCAAAGTGGAAAAGATGGAAAAACTAAGTCCGAAAGACATACTTTTTGAAGTGCATGAAGCAGCAGAAGCGTTGCAGATGAAGATAGACGAAAAGTCATACCTTCTTGTCAATTCAGAAAGATGGGCACCTGAAGTACGGCCCAAGGAATATGAAGAACCTCAGCATTTTGTTGATAGAGAGAATGAAAATAAGCAGGTGGTGATTGACTCTCTCAGTGAATTCTGGGATCCTCAGAATCCTAGCGGGGGTGCAGATCCTTCCATGCGACAATGGATATCCTCGGAAAGCTTGTTAAAAAACCCAGTTTCATGGCCGCGCCTTTCGTTTAATGCGCATGTTGTGCAACAGGAACCAGAAGAATCAAAAGTTTATGAAAGCGCCAGCTCCTTATCTTTGGCAACGTTTGCATCACTTCTGATTGAGTTTGTGGCTAGGCTTCAGAATCTCGTTGATGAATTTAAAGAGCTCAGTGAGAAAGCCAAGTTTAAGGATCCTGTGGACCCATTTGAAGTCAAAGAGGAGGTGGTTGGGTTTTGGACCAGACTATTAAGGTGGTTGCGGTTGAAGAATTAAGAGTGTGTTTTTCAGTTGGCTAGATATGTGTTATAATTTTGATCCAAGAATTTGGAGGTCATCATCACTGGTGGTAACTCAAACGAGTTGACGAAGTGATTTCGGTTTAGCTCTACAGATGTATTGAAAATGGTGTACAAAGGCAGGGAGTGAGGTTCTCTGCTTTGAACTCTTTATTTGATGCCCTTTGATGCAAGCCATGGTGGGAAATCCCCATTTTCACAGAAGTCCGGTTCATCACAAAAATTCTTATATGAGCAATTGATGGAGAAGGAAACGAAATTTGGATCCGTTTCAAGCATAAAAATGCATATGCCTTATTTGTCTCATTGTCATTGGCTATCATAGTATCATGCGTTTGTGTATAATAAGCCATGAATAAAGAATTTTTTTTTTTTTTTTTTTGGAGTAGCCTGAAGCCGATAAATGTGAAAATAACAATATACTTGACTGAAAGAGTTCCAACTTCTTCACCTCCGCTCCCATGTAGGGTGTAGTTTAGAATATTGTTTGTACTTAAGAAAGAGTTCCTACCTCTTCACCTCCCCCTCTCCTGATCTCCTTTGTTAAAAAATGAAGAGTAATTTTTTGAGTTCCAAGCGATTGATAAGACGTAAGAAGATAATATTAAAAAGCATTTCTTCTTATTAGTGTTAGGGTCACACCATCACATAACATTACTAATCTAAGTTTTATGATATAGGTGGACTTGATATTTTGTGGATCTAGAGTACAATATTAATAAATAAATACATATTATTATAATATGAGTGAATGTCAAATGATTTATCGTGAATATGAATATGGATCGATGATTTATTGTATATGCCTATATTACTTATTCTTATTACTTTGAAATTAAAAAACACGTTCAAGTCTCTAAGAGCAATAATAATAACCAACCAAGAAAAAATCTAGCAAAACAAGAAAAAAGAAAAACACCAACCAAGAAAGGGAACAGAAGAAGCAATAAAACGCATCACTATTGGGCTAGGGCTTGTGAAGCCCCAACACAAGTTCTGTTCCTCAGCTCTAATCTGAAGACGCCCAAAGGCTAAGAGCTAGCTTCTGTACACATGGGCCTAAAAACAAAAGGAACCATAATACGATAGTTTCTCGACTCTCTCGTCCTCTCTCTCTCTCTCTCTCTCTCTCTCTCTAACAGATTGTCGAATCAGAGGCAGCCGGCGGGAAGGGCACTGAGATCGGTAAGACCGTTTTCGCTTATAAGTTTCATCGATTTCCTCTTAGTAAATGCAAACATTTTAAGAATTTCTTTTTTCAATCAATTGGGGTAACTTGATTTTTGGCATCCGTTTGTTTTCCGAGGAAACTAAGGAAAGTAAGACAACCCCCCCCCAAAAAAAAACTAAAGTCTAAATTAATTAATTTATGTTTTCCTTTCCCGGAAATGAAGAGTAATTCAGCTGAAGCAATGTCTTACTCTATCGCTCGCACGCACGCTTGTTCATTTTTAATTGTTATTATTTCCTTGGTCATAAAATAAGTACGCAGTTGTTGATTCATTTTTCTCATTTGGAATTTTAGTAGCTAAACAGAGCCCTAGAGTTACTGATTCTGGAATCTCAGAATTCATCGTCGTGTTTTTCATTTTCTTTTAAACGATTTTGGTATTTTCTGGATTTGGATTCTAGGGTTTGATTTAGATCTCGCGGTGTTGATCTGATGCTTTTCTCAATTATGCTCCACTGAATACCTTGGGAATCATAGGAATCGAAGTAAAGAATTGAAACCGAAATGAGAATATAGTGGTTCTGTTAATTATTGTAAGATTATGCATTTTTTCTAGTTTCGCAGTTCCTGTGAACCATGGGTGGGTGGTCATATAGACCGTTGGTTATATCTGCAAATTTTGCTTACTTTAAAATACTATTAGTTATGGTTACTGATTTTTTAGAAACGCATTTGCATATGCCCATTTATGTGTTGGTTGGTATTTATTGTTTTTTAATTATAAAGGTACTTATTGTTGTACATATATAATTTAGTAGCTGCATTAATGGGTCTTAATACATATCATTTACTTGTAGTACTTATGTTATTTTCTTTTGGTGTTTGAAGGTTCTAAAAAAACTTTGATTTACAATGTCTATGGTTGATGAACCGCTATACCCAATAGCCGTTCTCATAGATGAGCTGAAAAATGACGACATCCAGCTACGGTTGAACTCAATCCGCAGGCTATCTACCATTGCACGTGCTCTTGGGGAGGAACGAACCCGTAAGGAGTTAATCCCCTTTCTGAGCGAAAACAATGATGACGATGATGAGGTACTTCTTGCAATGGCAGAAGAGTTGGGGGTCTTCATTCCATATGTTGGGGGAGTGGAGCATGCACATGTTTTGCTCCCACCCTTGGAAACCCTTTGCACTGTCGAGGAAACCTGTGTGAGGGACAAGGCTGTGGAGTCATTATGTAGGATTGGGTCTCAGATGAGGGAGGGTGATTTAGTGAACTGGTTTATTCCTCTTGTGAAGGTTAGATAACTTATTTTCTTCTATGTTCAAAATTTTATTAGTTTTTAACATTTGATGCCTTGTTTTAGTTCTAACCTCTATTTCCACGTGCCTAACCACTGGGCTAGCCCTCAAATTATTTATGTAGAGACATGCCTTTTATATCTTTAAATCTATGCCATGTGGATACTTTTAAGTGCTTTGCACTGGTGACATTGACATGAAAACATCAATTCATCAGTGTCCTGCACATGTCTATGTGCATTCATTACAATGCTCTGTAGTTTTCAATCCTTTCACCCTCAGCAAATCCTTTGTTCAATGCGTATTGTATTTTTTTTTTTTCCAATCAGAGGTTGGCAGCTGGTGAATGGTTTACAGCTCGAGTATCTGCATGTGGGCTTTTTCATATTGCCTACCCTAGTGCACCAGAGACATTGAAGACGGAACTGCGGTCAATTTACAGTCAGTTGTGTCAAGATGACATGCCTATGGTTAGAAGGTCTGCTGCAACAAACCTGGGGAAATTTGCAGCAACTGTCGAACCTGCTCATCTGAAGACTGATATCATGTCCATATTTGAGGATCTTACACAAGATGGTAATTTAATGCTCACCTTGTTTTCTCGCCATCTATATTTTGTAATTCTATTAATTTGGTTAGAGTGTTTTGTCTGTACTTTAAGAAGTTGGGTGTTATTATTTCTGTCTTCACATTCTCAGTTTTGTAATTCTATCAATTTTGTTAGAGTGTTTTGTCTGTACTTTAAGAAGTTGGGTGTTATTATTTCTGTCTTCACATTCTCAGTTTTCTAATTCTATCAATTTGGTTAGAGTGTTTTGTCTGTACTTTAAGAAGTTGGGTGTTATTACTTCTGTGTCTTCACATTCTCAGTTTTGTAAATCTATCAATTTGGTTAGAGTGTTTTGTCTGTACTTTAAGAAGTTGGGTTTTATTATTTCCGTGTCTTCACATTCTCATTGTCTCTTTGAGTTCAAAGTTGGAGTTCTCACAATTTTTTTCATCTCAGATCAAGATTCTGTTCGACTTTTGGCTGTTGAGGGCTGTGCTGCTCTTGGAAAGTTGTTGGAGCCTCAAGACTGTGTTGCACATATCCTTCCTGTTATTGTTAACTTCTCTCAGGTAAACCTATTATTTAGAATGTCGAGTTTTGGTTTCTGAATATTTTGTGCAGGTTTATGTCCAGAATTTGCTACTTTTATATTGCTAGCATGGTTTTCATGGTTATATTCATCCTATTTTGTCATAAAAAGGCTGAATGGATGGTTAAGGCATGTGTTTGGAAGCTGTTGGTCATGACACTGTGGAGTGTCACTGACAGTTTTGTGTAACCAAAAATATATCAATGAATTTTGTGTATCTTGACATTTTTTCTTATCTCTGAACAGGATAAGTCTTGGCGTGTGCGTTACATGGTTGCAAATCAACTATATGAGCTTTGTGAAGCTGTGGGGCCTGAGCCTACGAGGTATTTATTGTCATACTGCAGCCATGTGATAAAGATAGTTGAGATCAGTTATTTGACCAGACATTTGTCTGGCTAATTTTTGTTTAGCTAAGTCACACTTCCCATCTGTAGTGGCTTATTTATGGCCCTTGATGTTTTTTTTTTCCTTTTGAAATATTTGATATATGGTGGTTGTATTTGAAGGACGGACTTGGTTCCTGCTTATGTGCGGTTGCTTCGAGATAACGAGGCTGAAGTACGTATAGCAGCTGCTGGCAAAGTTACTAAGTTTTGTCGGATTTTAAGCCCAGAACTTGCAATTCAGCACATTCTTCCATGTGTGAAGGTATGCATGCTTTAATGAAAAGTTTTTCCTTTCTTGGTGCTGTTTGCTGTTGGCTGTAATTTATACTTTATTTTGTATTAGCCATTCAATACTTCTCAATGACCTTTGCAGGAGCTGTCATCAGATTCTTCCCAACATGTCCGGTCTGCTTTGGCTTCAGTTATAATGGGAATGGCTCTTGTATTAGGAAAGGTGAGAATGTCATGTGGTTAGTGCAGTTATTATTTCCAGGGAAGAACTCCATAATTGATCATTACATATAATAATGGCGGTATATTGGATTTGGTTTTTTCAATTAAAAAAGAGTTTGACAAATCAATGAACTGAAGCTGATATGAGGTGTATATGACTTTTACATTAAATGAATGGTTTTGATTGGATGGTTGGTGGAGCTGAATATGTGTTGGATAGTCCATACATCTGTGAAGAAGTTGGGAAGAAAAAAAGAAGAGATGTGTATCTGGTCCATATCTCAAATTTAAATTCAGCTAACTAAATGGTATGAGTCACTGAATCTCAAAATTACATTCTTTTCAAATTAAATGACATTGTTGAAGATTGACTCTGAAATCTGCATGCCGAGGAGGGCTGCTTGATGTAAAATATAAACCGTTTCTCAGGTTTTTGTTATACATCGCATAGATTTGGCCTGCAAATTAGCCCCTGAGATAGATGGAGTGTTCTTTCTGGCTTTTGTTTTTTGTTTGTTTTTTCTTTCTTTCTGGTTTGTGCTTGGATGAGATAGTCAATTGGTTTAGTCTCAATCCCGCAATGAATCTTTCAATCTTATGATAGCGTTGTCTGATTAATTGCATTACTTGCATGCATCTCATTATGCAGGATGCTACAATTGAGCAGCTCCTTCCCATTTTTCTTTCACTTCTGAAGGATGAATTTCCGGATGTGCGCCTTAATATCATTAGCAAGCTTGATCAAGTGAATCAGGTCAGTTCAGGACTGAGAAAGTAAATGCCGGTGCTAATTACATTATATTCTCAATTTTCCCCCGTGTCTCCTTCGATGATTCTTTACATGCTTTTAAACACAAAGTTTTCAGACCTTACTATTTGGGCCTTTTTGGCTGTTCCCTATCAAAAGATGAGTGGTTAGACCTTTTTAAGAGAATGCTCAAGCATGTCATTCTTGCAGGTTATTGGAATCGATTTGCTATCTCAATCCTTATTACCAGCCATAGTTGAGCTTGCGGAGGATAGACATTGGAGGGTTCGGCTCGCAATAATAGAGTACATACCTTTGTTGGCAAGTCAGCTGGGTGTAGGATTCTTTGATGATAAGCTTGGTGCCCTTTGCATGCAGTGGCTACAGGATAAGGTTAGTGTATCCCTACCTTTCAAATACATGTCAGTTCATGATAAGCCTTGGAGGGAAGTTAAATTGTTCGTTTTTTCCTTTCAAGCTCGCATCTGTATCAAGTTTTATCAACTTCCTACCCATCTCATCTCTCTCTCCACCCCAAAAAAAAAAAAAGGAAGGAAAAAAGGAGAAAGAACTTGTATATGTGCATTAGTGAT